ATACAAATGAAGTTGTTCTATGTAACTACTTATATAAACTACTCAATAAAGATACGAGCAAGGCCTCACCTTAATACTAAAAAAAAAAAAAGTAATTAAATTTTAATAATTTTGGTACTATTTAAATCATTTTAATAAGATGATTTGAATGGTATCAAAATTATCAAGTTTGAATTATTACATTATAAAATATTTACAAAAAACCAATTTTTATATAATTTAATATTAAACTTAAATTATTATACAATTTATAATTTAAATAGTTTTTTGCAAATATTTCATAATCTAGTAATTTAATTTTAATGATTTTAGTACCAACTGAATTATCTTATCAAAATAAATCAAATAGTACCAAGATTACTTGATTTTAATTATTAGATAATAAAATATTATTATTATTATTATTATTTTTTTCTCTTAGACAGGTCTCACCGAAACTTGACCTCTTAGTTTTATTATATATTTAATAAGAAAATACATATTTTAGAGTTTTAAGACTAAACTAAGTCTGATATTATCCGAGCCTGAGACTCAAATACAACCCATCGCACTAGGCTCCAGAGAGCCCAGAGTCTGAATTAGCCCTGTTTCAGAGGGAGGTTCAAAAGGGAGTTACACCCTTTCGGATCAGACTAAAAACTGCTGTACACAATTTTTTATCTATGATTTTCTTTTGTGACTCTTTTTCTTCTTTAGTCAGGTTTTTGGATATTTGATATTTTTCTTTTGTTTCAAAGTTCTTGTCATGATTTGTAGAGTCTGACTTTTTCCTGTCATTAGTACTGCGCATGATCTCTAGTAAGATTTCCCAATCTACTATCTTCATATATCTAGATTTCTTAATAAAGTCATGAAAAAAATTTTATGAAATCGATATAAGCTGGTCTAAAACTAGTTTTGTGACCTTGTTCGATTCAAGATATAACTAAAACTATTATAAAGTTCATTTCTTGTTAACCCTCTTGCTATCTCAGTTCTGATTTGTACCTTTTTAGCTACTGTCCCTCCAAAAAGAAGATTAGCTAAACTTGGCTTGATAATCTTTTTTCTATACATCTTTTCTAACTTTACCTATATTAGCTCTAACACCACCACTTCAATATTTCTCCATTTGAATTCTAGAGCTAAGCATTCTGCAAGGTATTTGAGAGTTTTTTTTCTTCTTTAGCTTGCATAATATACAAAAATCTTCTTGGTACAGGTCAGAACTTCTTCTTTTAACCTCTACTAATAGTGAAAGTTTGTCTATAAGGCTTTTAATCCTGGTTAAAAACTTTATGCTTTGTGCTAAATAAGTACTATTTATTCCCCGCGAAGCGGGGAATAATGAAATATTTCCCCAAGCCATTGCATCGGCGCAAAGCGCTGATGCAATGCTTGGAGGGAATATTGAAATTATTTCCCCGGAGCGGGGAATAAATGAGTTATCTTTCGTTTTATGTCATCACTATTGTATTTTGTATTATTAATCATGGCTTTTATCACGATTTGATAATTTTTCATTTACAAATATTATTTATAACTAATATAATACGAAAGTTTAATAAAAGAAACTATTACTATGACGTAATTAGACTATAAATACAAAAAATTTTTATTAACGTTAATACTTTTATTACTTTTTCGATTCTAAATTTTTTAAAATGGAAAGCGAAAAGGTTTATATTTATAAATTCCATATTATATACGAATATTATTTTATAAGAAATTAATCATTTAGTATTTAAAGGATACTTCTACACACTTTACTACGGCCTCAAGAATGTTCAAGTTTAAGTACAACAAACCTGGGTCTGATATTAGCTTCGATTATGAATTTGATACTATTGATGATGATATTAGTGTTATAAGTTCAGTTGAAGAAAGTATTGACGATAATAGTGAATATCTTAAAAAGAATAGTAATACAAATAAAAAGAATATGAATGAGGTATCTATCGAATGGATTTTATCATTCTTATTTTAAATTTATTTATATTTATTTTAATTTTAGATAAGGTTTATTGCGCCATCACAAGATGATGTTGATCATGTTATTAATTATTCTGAAGTAGTCAACACTAAACATAATACAAAAACTTGGATTAATGTATTGGACAAATATTTTATTGATACAAACCTTCCGGAAAATATTACACAAATCATAGATCAAACTGAATTAGAGTCAATTCTTGTGAATTTTTTTGTCGTATTAAAAAAACAAAATGGTCAACCTTATGCACCTAGCTCTATTCATAATTGCTATTGCGCAATTTCTCGTCATCTTCAAAAATATTCATGTATTGAGCCAAAACCAAATATTTATAATAAGAATTTATTTCCAAGATTATATTCAACCGTTGATGGTAAAATTAAATTTGTACAAGACAACAATCCACATCAAGTAAAGAAAGCAGATTCGCTTAGCTTTAATGAAATTATACAAATTTTAAATCATGAAAAAATGCTTGAAGATACACCAATTGCAATCACATTTCGGGTATATTTTTGGTTATGCCTATTATGTGGATTACGTGGAGGAGATGCACGTCGATTAGAGTTTGATCATGTAAAACCAACTCCTGGAAAGTCTCTTCAAGTTGTTATACCTCGTGAGAAAAACCATGCTGGGGGTATTAAAAACTTACATAATGCTGGTAGAATTTGTGAAATACCTCCAGATATGAATGGCAAATTTACTCCTGTATCTGACATTTTATACTACATGTATCGTCGTGGACAAAATTTTTAAACTAAAGAATTTTTTTTAAAAATTGCACCTAATAAAGGTAGTTTGCACTTTGGTAATTTATAATTATATTTTATTTACTTATTTTTTTTATATTCTTTTAGATTTTATTAGAGGAATTTGGTTTCATGATGCAGCTTTAGATCGACATTCACATGAAAAAATGATCCGTGAAATTTGTCATATAATTTCAATTGATACAAATCTCAAAAAAATTACAAATCATTCGATTAGACGTACTGCAATTCAAATACTTACTCAATTAAATGTATCAACTGACCGTATTATGGCTTTTAGTAGTCATCGATCTCCTGGTGGTGTAGCTTCGTACCAAACATTTACACGTAATATATTACACAATACAGTTTCAATGATGATTCCTTCTGTTGAACAAGATAATACAGGTAATAGTTTGTAATTTACTATTTTAAAAAGTAATTTACATATTATTAATTTTTATATATATATATTTTTAGATACTGCTATTCGATCTCTATTAGCTTCTCTTTCAAATAACCAAGATATTACTACTATTCGATCTCCATTGGATTCTCTTTTAAATAATCAAGAAACTGCTACTATTCAATCTCCATTGGCTTCTCTTTCAAGTAGTCAAGATACTACATGATCTTTAGTAACTTCAAGTCGTCAAATATCTAGTCCAATTCTGCAAAAACGAATTAGAGCAGCAAGAAAATTTAAACCATTTGACGCTTCTAAACCATTTATAAGCCCTCTTAAATCACGTAATAATAGCTCACTTAACGTTCAAGTTATTAATAATAAAGCACAACAATTTCATCCATTTAAGTCACATGATAATGACTCATCGGATATTCGAATTGTTGAAGAAACACAACAAATTCTTCCTTCAGTTAGTTCAAATTCTATTGACAACTTACCCCGAGTTACTATTGAAAATTGTAACAATTGTAAAGTAGAAATTAAAATTACTTTACAAAAATAATAATAACATAGATAGTTATTTCTTTATTTAACTATAAAGCGATAGCCAAACAATGCATTTGTAATTGCTTAAGCTGCTAATTATATTTGAGAAAATATTAATAATCGAAATATTATTATACTTGAATTATTTTTCCATTGTTTATTATAAGAATTTTAAAATTTCCAGGTTTATTTAAGAAAATTTTAGTAATTGAATTTTAAAATTTCTGAGTCTATTCGAAAGAATTTTAATAATCGAAGTTTTGTTTATATTTGAATTATTTCCCCATTGTTCATTATAAGAATTTTAAAATTTCCGGGGATATACTATTAAGTAAATGCATCATATTTGGGGATATAATGTTCTTTGTTATAATTTTAATGATAAAAGCCATGATTAATAACACCGGAAATACCGTAGTGTGAACATAATAAACCGTGAGATAAGTACATTTAACTCCAGTTTGTCTTTTGGTCTGCTTCCAGTATAGCTGCCAATTATATGTTGGATATTTTCTGCATTTTCTAACCCCAAGATTGCTTTTGTTTGTAACCAGTTGGCTCCATTCTATAGATTGAAGAGATTTTTTAGAAACTTCCTTGATGGGCCCTCAACTATCATATTTTTTCAATATTTTATGCTTTAAATCTAGTACTTTGTAGTGAATAAATGATCATTTTTTTCTGTAGTAATAATGCTTCTTTTGCTACTTTATCTGCTTTATCATTCCATTTATCGTTACTATGCCCTTTGACTTTTTTAAGCACTAAGTTCAAGTCTTTTAGTCAGATTAAATCTGAAATTTTGGCTAATAGTAGAAAGTTATTACTCTTGAACCAATTGTAATCTTTCTAGTTATCTACTATTTTTCTAATACTTGCAATTGTGGCTACACTGTCTGTGTATAAATTACTTTACTATTTAATAGGACTATGAAAAGGGCTAACCAGATTGTCATGAGTTCTGGCTTTGTAGATGATAGCTAACAATCTTGTCTAATATTAACTTCTGCTATACTAATATTCAAATCTTCGTCAATTTAAACCCAACCTGCTCCTATTATACTATTCCCATTTGTGTATACCAGTAAACTATCTGTATAGAATACAAATATCCTACTACTAGACATTCTGTTTTTATCTAATGTCTTAAGTAAATTGTCTAACACCATTTTACTGAACTTCTGCTTCTTTATCAACTGTGCTTCTGGTATTTTTTTAAGCTATATTAATGGTAGTGATAATATTTTGTCTATCTTTAATTCATCTAGTTGCTGCATCTCCTTTAAAAATTCTTCTAAAAAGGGTGTCATTTTTTTGTTTTCTTTGGCTTGAATACCTGGCAGCACCTCTTGAATCTTTTCATATCTCAACTATCTTTAGCAACTGTTATTATATTTGTACAAGTTTAATTAGCAACCTTTATATTTTTCAATTTGCTGAAATTCTCTACTATTTTCTATAATTATATTTTTTCCTTGCCAATACTTAACTAAAACTTGTTTTTCTTTTTTCTTTACTACTCTTTTTCTCTTTGTTTACACTTATAAAAATCTATTCTTTGGTTCTTTTGTCTTTTTTTATTTGACATTTGGAGAGTAGCAGAGCCATTCTATTATGGTCGGGTATTTGATATTCTGATTTAATTAATCTTTCTTTCTTGTTAGCTAGTGTTAAGTGCTCAATTGCTTTATACCAGTTTGCTACTTTGTCCTTACTAACTTTTTCTCTAAGTAGTTTAGTCTGTTGCCATGTGCGTAGTTTGTTACCCTCAGTATTAATAAGTTGATTAAGGTAAACAATACCCAAGCTTCTCAAACTCTTAACATTTTTTAAAAAGACTTTTGCTATAAGTATGTCTCTAAACCATAGACCAGAACCATTAATTTGTCAAAGATCTTGTGCTGTTCTTAATTCTATATTTAGTTTTTTTGCCTTATAAAAATTTTGACAATTGAGATTGTTTTGCCATATTTTTAAGTCTTTCATAGTTAGAACCTCTTGCCAAGAGTTTGTAGTAAGTTCTACTAGTTGGCAACCTTGTTTGATTCTTATTAGCATTGATGTATTGTCAGCCCCTGACTTGTTAAGTCTGTTTAGTAAATCTGTGATTTGAGGTATAAGCACCTCTTGCCATAGCAGCTTACAGTTTCCAATATTTTTATAGGATATTAGATGATTGCTAATTGTTCTTGGAAAATCAGCCTTGTATTTAATTAATTTGATTATTGGGCACTGAATCTTCTCCAGAGCACTTCTTGGTAGCTTGGTTGTTTGCAAGATATAACTTAGTTTAGGAATTAAACACATGTTGTTGATATAGGTGAGTTAACTATTCGTTATTCTTTTGTTGCTAAGGGATTTGATAAATTGTCTGACTATGCTTTTACACTTATTCTTGATTAACATGTCTTGGGCTTTTCCACTTAGCCAAATACCAAGAAATCTAATTAAAGATCTGTTTTTCTCAGCTTTGATTTTTGCTTCTATAAATTTTACTGATTTACCTTTTACCAAATTTTCTGAATTTAGAACAAATAATTTGGACTTTGTCATATTAATACTAATATCATTTAGTGTATAAAATTCTTCTGCTATTTCCAATATTTTGTCTAAATCTTCTTTGTTATTTGCTATCCAAGTGATGTTATCTGCATAAGCTATTACAGCTTGTCTTACTACTAATACTTCAGACTTTGATATATAGGTGTCTGCTAATTCTTCTAGCTTAATTTTGAACCCTAGTTTCTTGGAGTTTTGAACTTTGCACCAAAGGGGGTCATAAAAAATTCTCCAGATCAGAGAGGAGAGCATCTTGCCTTAATCTATTCCATCATATGCTATAATCTCTTCTGTACAACCATAAGCTGTAATTACTCTTGTTTTCCTTTATACAAACAGATTTGTAATAAATGAATTTATTCTTTCTGAGACTTTAATATACTTTAACGCCAAGGATAAAGAGGCAAGAGGGACTGAGTCAAATGCTTTTTTCATATTTTGGAATAAAAGCTATAGTTCTTTCTTTTGGTCTTTTGTATCTTCAATAATATTGTTTAGCAGATGAAGTGGAGCGACTGTAGATTCTCCTGCTAGCCCTGTAAAATTTGGTACTTTTAAAATCTCTTTTTCAACTAAAATTTTTGTTAGTCTTTTGATTAAAATCTTGGTAACATACTTGCAAAAAGTTTCTAGCAGAGCAATAGGTCTTATTGTATTTAAGCTATAATCCCAAGTACTGCTTTTTGGAATTGAGTATAATTGTGCCTCTTTCCAGCAATGGTATGTCTCCTATATAAAGGCAGAGATCAGCTAGTCTTCTAAATTTGTCTTGAGTTTCGAGGCATGCATTTTTAATCAATATGTCCTTATACCTGATCATCCTGGAGCTGTATTGTTTTTGAGCTCTTCTATCATTGAACTCAATTTTTTAGATATTATTTCTTTCTTTAAAGAACTATACTAGCTTTCTTCTACCTTTTTAAGTGGTGCATATACTTTCAACCAGCTCTTTGGCATTTGATCTAATTTTGTATTGCATTTTGCATACTGCTTCTGAAAATGATGTTGTGTTATCTTTAATATATCATTTGGATTTGTCATTAGACTATATTCATTTGAATTGCATTCCAAGATCTTGTCTATTGTTATTTTACTAAAGGGTTTATTCAGTAAACTTTGAATTATTTTCTCTTGCTTATTCTGTATCATTTCGCATCATTTGCTTATTGCCTCCTCTATTGACTTTAACT